ATGAAAAGCACATGTGCTCCAGGAGACTAAACCTCCTCCGAGCTCATCTTCTTTTGGCCAAACACTTTCATCCTCGCCACAATCTATCAGTCTCCCTTCTCTCAGCAAGCTCTCTGAGCACGTGTGTTAACGGAGTGAATGTGAGTACGCAGTTCAGTGTGTGTTGGTGAGAGGTGGCGTACGTGCGTGACGCTTGTACAGTATGTTTACAAGAGTTATTGGCCTTTTCCGTCCTCCTTGCTTAACCCTGTCTCTTGTCTGTCCTCCCCGTGTCCATTGTATCTTTCCATTTCTCAACCTCTCCTCACCCTTCCTGTTGTGAATCAGACGAGTTTTCTTGGTTCTTCCTCAAACAATGGCCGCGATATGAACCAGGCAGTTTGAAACAATCGATTGTACTGACTTTAAATCCTACTAAGATTAGTTGTCAAAAATGATGCAGAGTTTGTAGATTAAAATTGGGTGAGTATGTGGTGAAATAACAATTTTCTTGATAAGTGCACAGAAGTAATTTATCTCCAGCCTCGCATCTGCAGCTTTTCACCTTCAAACAGAGTGAAGTGTTGGCCACAGGCTGTGAACGCAAGTCCAACTGTGTATGTCCTGCAGCAATCAGCAGCAAAACTCTCTGTTCTACTACAGGTTGGCTTGCTGTGATGGAAGTGGTATGATTCCAGATTTCATAAGACTGTCAAAAACATATTTCAGAAACATATTTCTACATTAACCAAAGTGATCCATCATCATAAATTACTTGGATTGCGAAATTCCCAAGCATGATTTTATCTTGCACCTAATTGTTGGGACTATTTTCGGTATTTTTCCAATATTTTGCTTGTTTATGTAGCGGCAATGAAGAGCCAAAGTAAAGGTGAGGTAAGAGGTGAAGACTACAATCACTCAGCTGCCAGTTTATTCAATTCACATATCTTGAAATCTATTGCATCCTCATCAAAAAGCTAATAAATAGCTTCGCAATAAATCCTACCTCCGTGAAGTCATTTTGGAGGCTGCAGGTTGTGTTGTTGAATTGTATTGCACTATAATTGCATCATGATGTTAAGCTGAACAGTGGGCTCATATTACAAGGCTCACAGTATCAATTTCCTTCTAACTCTCTGGCTGGTTGGTGGTTGGCAGAGCTACCTCGGTGTATTAGGTGGTCATGCAAAGCAGCGCAGAGGGTCAGCTTTGTCGAGCTACTGTTGGACTGCACAGAGCACCTTCAGCTGATGCCTACATGCCATTTGACGCATATGTAGGCAAACTGTCTCCACTTTTGTTTAATTTCGCAGCAGCCACAAAAAAGCAAAACCCAAACACAAGCATCTATGACAAACAACAGCTTGCCAGCCCGAAGGGGAATGCCCAAGCGACTCGCTGCCAACAAGCCTTCAGCTTCTTTCCTTTAGTCATCACTATTCTCTCACACGTACCAACCACAAACTTTATGAGCCTAGAAAGTAATAAAAAGCTGCCTGCCACTCAATCTCAACACAATAATGAAAGCGCTTCAGTAGAAGGCAACTGGACTTCTCTTTCTGGTTCTTGAAGCTGTTTCAACACTCATCCATCAGAAGAAGCCTCTTGGATGAGGTGAAACGTCTTCAAGAACCAAAGAATATGAGTGATCAGATGAGTAATTGTACACTCTCTGCATAAGGCACAGGGCTACTATGTTAAAATTTGGTATGGTTTACAAGGCTACTTCAAAAAGTTCTCAGCAAAACTAGATAACATCAGAATATTCTTGCATTTTTTTATTTATTTATTTAGTTTTTAACACAGCCTCCTTGAATTTTAATGCACTTGGCCCACCAGTGTTTAAGCTTTGCTATCCCTCTGCTAAAGGTCACATCTTGAGCCTCTAGATACTCCTCAACAGCACGCATGACTTCATCATGGCTATAAAACTGGCGACCACACAAGTGGGATTTCAGTTTGGGCAGCAGATACAAGTCAGATGGTGCAGGTTGGGTGAGTAAAGTTCATGGAGCAACAGTTTAAAGCTACATTTGGCTGCTTCTGCCACCTTTGCTTTGTGGACAGACTCGTTGTCCTGGAGCAACAACAGCCAGCTTAAAGCTTTACTCTCCTTTTTTCTTTGATTGCAAGAAATATTTGAGTTTTCTTGACAGTGATACTAAGGTTTTTAGTGTATAGTTATGCTTCAAAATGGGAGTTATGTCCCTTTTTTCCGGATGAGGCTGAGAACTTTAAAGCACCCTTGCTGCATGCAAATTTTCAACAACTTTCTTGGTAATGGTAATATTCATTAGTTAACAGTTAAATATACAAATGTGCCACTAGGGGTGTCTTAATCAACCCATCCACAAAAAACGTAGTTTGATGATGTTGTGAAGTGGTGTGGGGTCACGGGAGTTGTTTTTTTCACCACCATTGTCTAACCAGTGTACATAAAAATCCTCTCCTGGTGGCTGTTCTAAGTGGTCTATGGTACTACTTGTCAGTGACTTATAATGTAGTCTTGATAACCCTCCCCAGGCAGTTTGACCACTATTTACACCATGAGTCATGTGATTTGGAGGTGAGAATAAATACTTGTCATGTCTTCCAGAATCTAAAAGAAGCCCAGTTACTCTCTGCTGAAGCTCTTAGGATTACCATGACCTGGATGACTGAGAATCTACACCGACAATAATAGGAGATGTTTCTAATATAGTCTCGAAGGACCCTATTGACAAAAAAGGCACGGAAAATATATTTGAAACATAATGGTGATGACAGCATATCATCCATCTACTGTATGACTTCTACAATCTAGGCAGAGAAGTAAAATTGCTTTCAGATTCTGACTTCTCATAGGTTTTCATTGCTGTAAGACTGATGTAGTGTTGTCAGACATTGCTGTTGTCAGTTTGAGACAGTGTTAGAAAGGTGAGACAGACAATATGTTGTCCATCAGCTTCAGTGTGTATTCCTCTGGCAAGCAAAGCATAGACACAGACTGTGGATTTCCCACCCAACCGCAGCCTCTCTCAACCTAAAACAGGCCGATGTAACGGTACAATAAAACTACACAAACAGCAAAAACAGTAACCTTAATGTTTCTTGTTAAACTGCCTTCTCGCTGCCTGAAAGTGACAAGAGGCTAGCCTACGAAAGCCAAGTTTTGGCAATCACACTACAAGGATCAAATCCACCTTTGCTTGAGGCAACACAGGAAAGGAGACGGTGTCCAACAGCTGTTCATAAGAAGAAAGTTCCTCTCCCCGGCTTTCGGTGTATTGTCAAAGCTGGACGCTGACAGGCTTCACAATTAGTGTAACATTTACAAGGTCTTGCATGAGCTACGCTGCAATTCACTGCAGTCACGCTACTCACATAGCCAGCTGCTGTTCTCCATTACTGGCCAGGCAAGGTGCATATCTATGGAATGCAATGTCACTGCCTGACTTTCACATTAGAGTGAATGGGCAACTCTTATTATATGTGTGAGTGTGCATCTATGAGTGGTTCTCCCATGTTTGCATTGATGTGCCTTTAGCAACTGAATCCTTCATCAAATATTAACATTAATTCAAAAAAGGGGTCTGTGATTTTTCATGTGCTGGTAGAATCTAATTTCTTATGGCGTGTTCTCTGCAGCACAAGCCAAACACTGACTGGTACGATGGATTTAACCTGCCGTTATGTGAGGCTCACCTACAAATGAACTGTAGAGGTATATTCGTATAATAATGGAAACTTCACACTTGCAAGGTACATAGAACGTTCTCCAGATTTGGGCAGCTTCAAGCAATATTATTCTGACGGAATGGAAAGCACTGTGAATGTGAATGAAAGATTACTGAACAGTAACTGCACTGTGAATTTAAGTTTCCTCTCATTTAAAAAATGCATAAAGCCTTAGTTGACCTCCGGCTATTTCCTCATTTTTTCCAAACAACAGAGATTAATATGAATTATAAATGGAGGTACCAAGACCCAAGTTGATTAAAAACAACACGAGGAGCTGCTTTTAACATTGTTTTCTTCCCCTTTTCTCACAATTTCTCCCGTTTACACCTGGTAACGGTGAAGGAGAAACCAAAAGCATACAAAAGCTAGAGCAATATTTCCCAAGTAATGCTGGGCTGTTTCCAGCCAAAGTCAACTTCCACCAAATACTGGATATTAGGTCATTTTCACAAAATGGCTCTCCAGCAACTCTTGTTAGAGGGTAGGGGTGTGGCACTCCGCTGGGACCCTTCTGTAACCCGCTCCATGTGTTATCAGGACTATAAGACGATTGCTTGGTTCCTTATCTTCCTAAACACAGAGAGGTAGGCTGAGATTGTATCAGCAGTGCTTAGGGAAATTAAATGATGGCTAAACATTGCTCGAGCACCAATGCGGCACAGACTGAAATGCAGCAAAGGAAAATATTTACTGAACAGTATCGGAGAGAAGGGCCATGGTAAATTTCGACACGGAGGTTTCCAGATATTGTGAGGGTCCAGCATTACAATAACATTAATCAGTGCTCTGGCACCATTGTTTGGCAGGCGTTGATGGCTGTTTGCACTCCGCTAATCATCACTGCTTAATACTCTTGATACAGCAGAGGTGCAGGAGTGGCGGAATCACCCCGTCAGGACTCCCCAAACAGCTGCCAAGCCAGTGTAAACCAGCGCTGCCGAAAGTGCAGCATTGATAAGAAGAACTTGGTGACAACCAATCAAAAGGCTATATCTCTTCAGTCATTGTACCGCATCTGTGCAGGTCTGCCTGTTCTGATCGTGTGCGACTGTAGTACAGTCAATGCACTGACCTACTTTATCCGCCCCATAACAATACATTATATTTCCTTCCCTTCAAGGCGCTCCAACAGTATATGTAATGCGGAGGATTTTCCATCTTGTAAAATTCCTCTATTACAGCATTGCTTCATGGCTATTACTGTACAGTGTAAACTGAGAAAAAACTATTCAATAAAATTATGATTTGTCATTTTGAAAATTTAGACACATCACATATTGGTAACTATTCAAGCTTACCTAGTTTAGGGGGCTTTCCGCCTTGTCCTGTTGGGTGAACACAAAGAAAGTATGTGAGTTTTTTCGGTTAAACTTCAAATGGTACAGATATGTTTTACACTTTTTGCAACTTTACTCTATTTTGCATTGATAAAATATTTAAGACCATGCCTGTTTTTGAATAATGATATTAAGATGTCTGGCCTCAATATAGAAATATAAGATTCTGCTAAATTAGGTGACTGAAAAGTGTTTTTTTCTATCTTCATACCTGTTGGCAGTCCTCCGTAGCCCAGACCACCAGTTCCAACACCTCCTGGCACCACGCCGCCTGGGACAACACCTCGGCCTGCACCTCCATAACCTCCTACTGTCAGGGTTGAAACAGAGACATGCGTGAGTGTGATCAATACAGTCATTATCTTCATTTATCACTGTTGTGTCAGCATCTGCTAACAATGTTGATGTCATGTCGTCATATCCTCATCGTGATATTTTTTTTGTTATTTTTGTTAGATCACAGTGATCTTTATTACTCACCGCAAATTTCCAAACCTCATAACGTCTTCCAATAAACTGCCTTAATAACAGCGGTTGCCCTCAAACACATTGTTTACGGCTACGACAATATCCTTAGCATTTAATTATTCTTATTCGGCGGTGATGTGACAAGGAAGTCTCTCAATGTGTTTCCCCCTGATCTGACCAAACCAGAGCTGAGTGCTGACAGGAAAATTTGCCTTTAGAGTGCCAATCTGTTTCTTCTTGTTTTCATGAACATTAATGTCACACTGTTGGATGCGCCAACTTAATGTGCACATGCACTCAAATGTAAAAATGTTAAAGATCAAATGTCTCATCCCTGCGGTCATGCCTTTAGTAGTCCTGTCCAAAGAAAAACAAGTGCACAGAGTGAAACTTGTTCAGCAAATGGGATCTGAAGCCATGCCAGGACGCTGCATTCATTTGGCGACCTGTTGCTAAAGCGGTCTGTGCGCGCAGAGATGAGTGTATCTGCTATGGATGTGTGAAATGACAAACACCAGACAGAATATCTGTGGCTGTGCATCATGTCTAATGGAGGCAATGGCCATTTGGGCAATCAGAAATCTGAGACAGCAACACGGCTTTCATGACCGAGAGATTGCTGTATGGAAAATATTTAATTTGGAATGAGTTCAAGTAATATGGAACTCTGCAGAGTTCATCATGGTATCTCTTTGATTCAGCCACAAGTGTGCTATCAGGTCCCAATTAAGCCTAAAACATTCTTTTAAAAAGTATTTGAGACAGAAGATATAATACTACATGGAAACGGCTACTTTCTTATATCCAAATCATTAATATAATCCTGCATGCACCACTTCACGATAAACCAGACAAAATTCTTAAAACATATTTTTATATTTGGGGAAAAATCATAAATCTACAGTGTCTTCTACTCACCTGCAGCTTTAGCTGGTTTATAGCCCGCAGGGACTCCTCCAGCAGCCCCTAGTAAAACAACAGTCATACACACTATTGATTTATGGTTTGCATGCAAGCAGCAAAGTAAATGATAGTTTTTGGCCGAATTTGAACTAAAAAGTTGGTATTCGTTGTATTTATGAGTTTATTTTACAATGAATGCTGGGCTTCGCATGAAGGAAAGGCAAAGAGCACTAAGACTGGATAAGCACATCAAATGTAAGTGAGCTACTATCAACCGTTTGAAACATAAAAGTCTCGTCAAGACAACGGGTAGAAGTTTCAATTTGATAACCAAAATTTGCCAACTACACTCCTACCAATATACGTATGTGTGGTTTTTATTATTTTGCACATTACTCATTACACATTTTGCAAGTACCTTTACTTTTCATTGAGTTTCACATTCAGATCATACTGTTTCTTTTAAGCAAAGCCTCTAACTCTTCTGAAGTTTAATTTAACTGTTACAGCTTTGCTAAAGACAGACAGTTGGTGGCTGGTTGCGGCTGTGTTCTGCATCGTTTTTGTTCAACTGTCCAGACAGTAACTGGATGCTCTATTACCTGGAAAGAACCCAGTTCCTGGCACAGCTCCTCCAGGTCCGAACCCAGCACCAGGTGGCACATACACACCTGCAACACACATCAGAAACAGCAAAATGTCATCTTCTATCACCAACACGCTGCACGTGCGGTCGAGCAGTTCCCAGCTATCGATGTTTTTGCTTTTCTTTTTTTTTTTATTGCAGTGCTTGTAATAGCATTTCTAAACAATGACTCCGTTTATTAGACAAGCATTCTCAAACACATTTATCATCTGTGACCCAGTCTGCAGAACTGAAGTCAACTCTTGTCATACACATCTGTCACAGGTCACAGCGGCGATGGGGGTGCACGATGAAACCCCAACGAAGCAGCTCCAGCTCCAGCCAGAGGAAAAGCAAAAAGAATGAAAACCCTTTATAGGTTTGATGAGGAGTAATTCAAATTGTTTTCATACTGATGAGGTACTGCAGTTGGAAACTTGCTCTCAGAAAACCACTGCAGCACTGTGGACACCCTCAACCCCCACCTACATCCCCTGGCCTTATTTCTCGCCTGATTTCTGGCCTCGACCCAGAGTAACTCCTGAGATGGTCGTTCTGGATCCCAGACATGGTGGCCTCATGTGTGCTAGCAACAACAACAGAAATAAAAGAAAAGGGAGGGTAAAATGACTCCAGTTGTTCTGGGCCGACTAACAGCTAAATCCAACGGGACTGGTGAGCTAAGGCCAAAATTACAAAGTTACATTTTTTGAGGGAAAAACCTGGTTTGTATCACAAAACCAGAGTACGAATGAAAGAATGGGGCTGTAAGACTACAATGATTATGCTTAATGGCTCTTACATGTGTTGGGAGGCCAATTAATTTAAACCACATGTCAAAGGTGTTCATGTGTTTATTAGGGAGTACTGTGCAAAAACTGGGCTTCGAGTTCTGTCCACTGAGTGCGGCCATTAGGGGAAGAACATTACAAGGTATTACTGTCCGATCTAGCTGAATGAAAATTCGCGACACGTGCCACTGAAAAATGCCAAAAAAGTAAAAATCTGTGCAGTTTAATGAGTATGCCAGATTTGAAGACGGGTTAGACCATCTCACTAACAAGCTGTGACATATTAAATGTTTTTGTGCTGCAATAACATCGGGATTCTTTCTATTTGGCAGCTGAGGTTTAAAAAAAAATAAATAAAAAAAAAGAACAGTCAGTGCCGATCAGTGGAGTGAACCAAGTGTGGGATGACTGCAAGATGAAAATCTGCATTTCTTTGCTGCAGCAGTTAAACGTGCTGATAACTCTGAGTTGTTTATGTTGAAGCTAGCCAGGACAGTGTTGCCATAACTCCAAAATGTCACTTAACATCTGATGATAAAAACATTTGTTTATGATTAAGAGAAAAAAATCTTTTCTGTAGCACAGCGAGGAGTGCCGAGAAGTCAGCGCAATCATGTGTAATGACGGAGAATTTTTTAGCACAAGTGTAAATGGGAACACTTAGCTTTACACAAAACATGACTCCATGAATGAACAGATAGTGGTCCTTTTCATATAGAGTAACTGGAAAGATTGGGGAGCTGGATGAAGGCAGAGCTGATCAAATGTCTTGTGGTTTGGCCTTTCTAATACTGAATCCTGCAAATAAAAAGAAGGATAGCATTCAGGGTTCTATATCATATTAGGAAGTGGTGAAGTCAGTGCCACTAATGCATGTGCGCATACATTTGTTTATGTCAGCCGCTGGCTCCATGGCACAGATCTCAGGTGCAGGCACCACATGGCGGGTGCAGAGTGTTTGTTCTCCATTCTGCTCCCTCATTTTACAATCAAAAGGAGGATTTCCTGTCTCGGCACTGCAAGTGAGGCAGGAGGGAGTGTGTCTGCTCCACTTTTCCTTTTCACTCAGACTCCCATCGCGCTACTGTACCGCTGCTGCAAAGTGCATCAGGTTCATTGAGACCACGCATCCAAATAAGGCACATGCTGACCTCTGCCAAGGGACCTGACCTACCTTGAAACATTTGAAGATTTCTTCATGATTGTTATAATTATCGTCATCATCATCCGCTTACATTACTCGCGAACTCAACCAGGTCATGGGAATGCACTGGAATGTGCATGAAGGACAAGACTGACTTGCAGAGCACAAGGGATCAGACCATGCAGAATTTATTTTACAGATGACTCGGGTCAAGAGTTTGGCCTAAGTGTTTGTGATACGATTTATGTTTCAAATTAAAAACCATGAGAAAAAGGATTTAAGAATGACTTTGTGGGACTCCTTTTAGTGATCTGATCTTACAGAGACAAGTTAGCCTTATGTGTTCAAGCCTGTCTGCTGCAAGTTGTTTCCACTGGAACAGAGGAAGAAATGTGAAGGTTTGAAAACCTGTTAAGACAAATGGTATGAAAAATTCAGGGAAGCATCAATAAATTACCATCTGCTACAGGATCTGATAAGAAATACGTCTTCCTTCGATCGGTTTAAGAGCAATGGCTGTTGCGAACTGAATGGGCTAAAGTGCGTATTTTTCACTGTTGCGGTTACTGTGGAGTGCTCTGAGTGCATTAAGAGGGTGATGATGTACATGCACTCACAGGAATCCTGACAGTGATTTTAATTTACCACCATTCCACTTTATACTTGAATGTGGTCCAGCTGTAGTGGATGAGGGGTCAGTAAGCTAGGAATATAGCCAGTCATCAGCAAAAGGGAAATAAGTCAAATGGATATGGAAGGTTCATGGCTTGGGAGTGAGATACTGACACTTCCTGCAATATTTTCCATGTTAATCACAGTGTGCAGGATTTTTCCAAACATTTTAATGCTTTATTGCCGCACCTAAATATTTTTATGTTGCCTAATGAATTGAAAAACGATGATGGCGATTCCAATGTTGCGCATGATTTAACTAAAACAGTCTGTTCATTGACTGTGTTCAAGTTTTTCGGTAAACGTTAATACATCTGTTGGCGAATAGCCGATGTGAACGCGAGTCTCATTAACATGCAAGGACAGAGCCTTGACTGGACTGTCCTGTCTACCAGAAATTACGTACACAGCTAAACCACACTCTCATTAGGCATTTTGAGTTGAATATATTTTTTGCTAGTTGGGGAAGTTTCACTAATATGTTTCAAATTTACAGTTTCTTCTTCTCAGCCAACCAATCATATATTACTCAGGGTGAAATAATCCATAAAATGGAGAAGATGATTTAAATATGTTTTGAAAGTGTGGTTTTGTAACCAGTACCGTAGTATTTTCCTACACCTAACCGTGTCATTTTAGTGCCTAAACTTAACCAAGCTTCCGACAAGAAGTTATTCTTGTGAAAGTGCCAACCAAAGCGTGATGTTTTTCCTGAACCAAACCAAGAAGTGGAGATGAATCTTAGACATGAGAAAGTCCAAGAATCTCTCATCACATTGTGTTTGTCCACTAATTTTGAAGCTGAAGTGACCAGATCCTGACTCAGTCTAGTTTTAATGCCGAACTCCACTGAAAAAAATAATCAGTTTTATCTACAAAATTTAAGGTTGTTTGGCGCTTCATGTATATTTTTAATTTTATTGTACTGTAATCACATTTCAAAATGTTGTCTGCAGCAGCTTAGTCATTAACACATCATGTTTGTGTGCTTACCATGACTCTGTCTTTCATCTTTCACGTTTCATATGTAAGAATAAGACGCAAAGTCATCCTTTTTACATGGACTTCCTTTTTGATGCTGGATTTTGGAATTTGTGTCTCTGTGGTCACCGTACACATATTCCAATCAAGAAACTACTGTCTCCCTTTGAGTCTAAAACGATGGAGAAAACCAAGAAAAATCACTCCATTATCAGCAGGAATGAAGTCGTAATAATTCACCATCTTCGCCTGAGCTGCCGTTCATGAGCCCAGCAGGTGATCCACACTCTCAGCCCACACTTTAGAAGCAAGGGGAAGTTGAAACATGTCATAAGATACACGTTTTGATGTTTATTGAGTCAAAACTGCACTTCACAGGCCAACTTTGCTTAAATAAACTAAGTGAAGAGAAGTCAAGAGAGTAAAGAAAGGGAAAAACAGCTACTTCTGTACAGTTTCAAATGGCCTTGAGGATAATTGCTAACATACATACCACATGTAAGCATACGTAAAGGGTTTACGTACATGGAACTGGTGAACAAACATTATGGTTCCCACTTGGGCTGCCCACATTTCAGGCCATGTGGAAGCATGCTGGGAGATGGTTGCTAGGTTAACACATGTTTAAATGTGTGTTTGCAACCGAATAACCGTAACAGTGAAAAGAATTCAACATTTTTCATTATATTGTGTCTTTTTTGTCTGGAACTATAATAATTTATTTTCAGGTATGCCCACTGTCCATCAACCTGTCAAATCTTTTGATATTTCAGTGATTTCCAACCCCAGATAGCATAACTGAACTGTCATTAATCAGAGGTTTGAGACAGACAGCGATGGCGATAGGTATTGTTTGATAAAACCGTTTCTTAGCTGAAGTCACACAACCTGTTCTAATCTTTTAAAAATTTCTGGTTGCAGCTGTGTGGAAAAGTTCAGGATAACAACACATCATTTTTATTTGACAAGTTATATCCAAGAATAGTACTAAGAAAGACTTAAAATTCAACATACATATATATCAGAAATAGTTTAACAACACAGTGTGAATTGGGAGAGATAATCTTGACCACTTTCACACTGGTGTTAAAACCCACATCTAACAAGTGAGAAATTTTTCAGAATTTTATTTCCAGTGGACTCAAATTTGCACTTAAACAACTCAATGAAGTGTGAAAAGCTCAAAGTCTTAGCTCAAAATCAGTTCCATATACAACATATGTGTATGCAAGTGTTTAGTTTCTCTGGTTCCCTTGTTTTGAATTTTGATAAAATGACATAGTTCACAAGACGCAAGCCAACAAATGGGAGGGACTGTGTTCAGCTCCTCGTATGTTTAGTTTTGCATAATGTCATGTTTTGAGTGTCGGCCTGGAAAGTAGAAAGTGACATGTTTATCAGCTGTTTAGCTGGCAAGTTAATTGATCTGCATCAGTACTGGCACAGACAACCCCATTG